CGGGCCGGGCGCAGGCGGCGCGCCCCGGGGCGGCGGCCGGGGGATTCCGGGGACTGCGAGGGGGGAACGCCTGTCAAATGGACGCGGGCGGACGCTGCGGACGGCCCGGGTGGCCGGGTCTGCGGGGACTCGTGGCTCCCCTGGCTGCGTGTCCTTAGGGATTCCTCCTGCACCTCGCCGGGCGAGAGCGCCTGGTGCCCGGAGTTTGAATTCGCCTTTGAAGTTGGCGTTTGGCGGAATGCTGTGGGCTCCAGGACCGGATGTGTCAGCCATTCAGTTTCAAAGCGCTGGGGACGGGTGGCGCGGGGGACAGGGACGGTGCGGGGCTGCGGGCTTCGCTCGCGGGGGTCTTCCGGGGCCCCAGAAGTAGGATGTGCGTAAGATAGTTTACACCAACGGCTCTTTCTTGGGCCTCGCCCTTTTTTTTTTTTTTTTTTTTTGACTACTGGGAATTTTTCTGTTAAAGGAAATTCTTTGAAGTAGATGATACTTCTTTTTTTTTTTCTTTTTAATTCTGATTTAAAAATGCACAGAAGCCTAAAGTCTGGACGGATGTGTGAAGTCGCTGGGTGTGTTTTCGTGATCGTCGCCCGGTGGCCCGGTAGAATTTCTTGACGTTTACTATGGGTGGAGAGTGTTTTGTTGTGTGTCGAATCTGACAGTGGGAATCCTTGGTTTCGGTTAGTTATCTAAAGTAATTTGACCCTGTTTGTGCAGTGGAGTGTCCAGAATCCCGGTCCATGTATTACTGGGAGGCGGTTTTCTCTCCCCCAGCGCCCCCCCCCCCCCTCCCCGGTAGTAAAAAGTATGCCGAGCCCTGTCTGTACGCCGGCAGGCAGTATGGGAAGAAGGTAGGCAGTATCCTGCAGCTCTCGTGTGCACAGCGGATACCTACCTTCCTATGGGGTTTCCTGTGTCTGCGAGGATTAGAAAACCTAACCAGATCTTAGGTGGCAACTGTTACTATAGGTCGTCTGCAGGTGAGAGAAGAAGATAAAAAGAAGTAACTCCAGCTTTGAGGAATTAATTTTATCTAGTCCTGTGAAACCTGTTTTTTTTTTATATATATGACAATGCAGCCTGTCTCGCTTAAGCATTATAGTCAATATAATGGCCTATGCGTGTAGTATAAAAACAACTACAAGACGCCATAGAACTTTATTTAGTGTGGCCTCTGGACACGAAATCAGAGGACCACGGTGAAGGCAGGTAGAACTGAATGACTGAGTAATCTGGGATTCATTTTTGCATTTTCTTTTTTTTTTTTTTTTTTTGAGAAGTTTTTTTTTTTTTTTTTTTTTTTTTTTTTTTTTGAGAAGTGGCTTATAATTGTACAGGAGCCTTTAAAAATAAAATCTGTTAGTGAGAATGCTGTCGATGCATCTTGAATGTCATACGTGAAAGTTTCATTTGCAGTAAAGTATTGCTTCTCTATATTTTAAAATGCACTTTTAAATTTACTTCTGAAATAATAGTGCCCCCCCCCCGCTTTTGTAGCACTGGGTTGAAGTCTCAAATCTGCTGGTATAAAGCTTATACCACAAAGAAAAGGTATACGGAATTATTGCCGTGTATTTTGTGTTTCCTGTTACAATCCTTTATTGTTTTATCATTTAGAGTCCTAGGGAAATGATTATAAAGCAGTCATATAAAATCCCAGTTGATCAGTGCTTCCCCCTTTCCAAGTAGTTCACATTCATACTTTGAAGAGGAAAATTTAACACTAATATTTTGTGGTTTTATTCTCAGTGGTAGTAAATAAAGGGCCGAAGACCCTCTCCGTCTGTCTGAAGAACTATTGCATCATTTTTGTTGGGTTGCTTTTTTTTTTTTTTAATCCAGTTTCCAAATTGGACTCTAAAAATTGAAAGTGTAGAAAATACACATCTGTAAACGATAATGTATGGGACCTTCATGAAAATCATAGATTGTGTGTCTGCCCCTTCTCCTTCAGAGGAGTAACTGGCGGAGGGCAGTGAACGTCTGTGCCTGTAAGTGGCGCCCAAGGGCCGGGGATTTTTCCTTACACTGCAGCTCGAGGGGCTTCTCCTTCCTATTGACTGCCTCTGAAGAGAAATTACAGAGCTGCCCTCCCTTGAGCGGGCCGTTGTGAGTCTGGCAGATATAATTACTCCATCCTATTTTCGTAGGCTTCCACCACACTATCAATTTGCTGCCCTGTGAAAGAGAGAGCAAGATAGGCCGTGCTTGTTAACGTTAGTTAGCGTTGCTTAAAACTCAAGATATTTCATAAGCCGCCTTGGCTTCCTCAGAGGCCTCAGTTTCACTTCCTTTTAGAAGCTGCTAGGCTAAAAATATAACTGACCCTTCGATAGAAGGGAGGTAATAAGAACATTAATAATAAGCCTAAAAATAAGCCCCTGCAACCCTTGAGTGCATGGTTCTCTCAAGTCGTAGCAGTAGCCCCAGAAGGTAAGCCTGGCGTGAATTCCTAGGGCTCTGTACTCAGAAATTCTCTCCAGGTTTTGTTCTAAACCAGCTAAGGAAATTACTGTATTTTTAAAAGATTAACCTTATTAAATCGGGTTCTGGAAGAGAGCTATCGGAGCGAGAGTGGTTGCCAGCTTTGGTTTCTCTTCCTATCTGATCTTGGCAAGAGTGACTGGCTAGCCAGCATTCCTTACCGTGTGATTTCCAATACACTAGAAGGACTCCATTTTGTTAGCTAGGACCAGTTCTGTAGCACGCCAAGCATGGTGTGTTGCATGTCTTGGAAATGGTCGCCGCCGAACTGTGGCCCTGCAGAGTTCAAAATGTGCAGAGAAAGGGTTGTTGTGTTGCCATCAACCGGAGCCAAAAAAAAAAAAAACCAGCTACAGTTTGCCCAGGCTGAGTCTGCTGCTCTGTCCTTGACCCTGATGGCCAGTTCCAAAGGAAGAAGTGATGAGGGACAAGCAGTTGGGTATCCTGAGGAAACGCGAGGGGCATTCCACGGTGCTGAGTCAGTAGAACTGCCTTGGCATTCTCTGCTCCAGGTGCTTGCTTGGGCCAGGGGTCGGTAATGTGCATGGAAGAAAGTGGGAAAACACGGCCTGGGAAAGGCTTGGTCCGTGGAGGATGCTCCTGAGCCCTGCGTCTGAGCACCTTTCCCCGTGGAGTGCTTTGTTGGGGTCACGTGTGTCCTGTCTGTCCTTTAGATCTTCCTGTCTCCCTTTAGATCGTCCTGGCCTTGCTGCATCTTTAGTTAAAAGTTAGAGTTGCTTAAGAATGTAAAAAGGGCCTGTCTCGGAGCTCAGAGGTAGAAGAATGTGTGCCCGGCCCGTAGCATGACGAGCAAGGCCTTGGGTTTGATCACTGAAATGTGCAATATTAAAAGTAACCAAGTTGTCTTTAAGAAATAATTTGAGAGCATTTTTGATCATGAAAGAAGCGAGGGCCGGAATGAAAGTAAATGACTCACCCGAGTGGGGAAGGTAGTCTGGTCCTCTTCAGATTGCTAAACATAAAAACCACAGGGTTTTTACCTGTGGCTGGACACGCTTGCTGGCCTTGTAGACAGATGTGTGTGTTTTGATGCAGTCGCCTTCCTTGCCTTCTGTGGGGCAGGCAGGTGATGTAGGCCACCTTGTTCAATCACCACTGCAGCCCTCTCAGGCATGAGGATTTCCGTTCGGGGAGGTAAAAATGAATTGGAGATATAAAAACCCCCGTGATCACTCAGCTAGCAGACAAGAGACAGGATTCAACCCAAGTCAGCCTGCCTCCGTTGCCCGTTTCCTCTCATTCGTTTTTTGCTGTTTCCATTTTTGTTTTCAAGTTCACTGTTAAGTTAACTGATGAACTTTAAAAAGGGAGTTGGTTGTTCAGTAGGAGTCATGGGAGGGCTGCCTTGGACCCTCCCCTGCTTGTGAAGCTATGACACATTTCTGTGACCCAGTCTTGCACGGGCCCAAGTGTTTTACAAGTAAATACTATCTGTGTCCCTCCGCTCCCCCCACACGCACACACCACTTCAGAAAAGAGAATGAATGATGAGTGTTGAATGTTTCTCAGATCTGTGCAGCATTCAATCATAAGTGAGAGGGGACCAAGAAGCTGGAATAGTGTCCTCACTGTTGTAGATTTCATTCATTCATTGTAGATGAACTTTGCAAGACAGTGGTCTGGTTGATTAAAAAAAGGTCACCAGTACAGAGCCTCTGTTTCTGCTTGTGGATTGTAGAGGGAACATGTCTCACCACACTGTGTTAAGTGCAGAAAGAGACACAGACAGACAGACTGACTAAAAGCAGTGCTCCGAACCTCACCCACACCATTAGGTGAATACAGCCACACCTTCCCAGCTCCCTGAGGCCAGTTCCTGGCTACCCAGCCGCCTAAGTCAGTAGCTAGGAAAGATGGGGGTTTGCCCTCTCCTGCGTCTGGCTGGCTTGCCAGGTGTTTGCTCTTTTCCGCCGGTTTCCTTCTCTTCTCAGAACAGACACTCTGCGGGCTTGGGTCCCAGCGCTAGTGAGTGGATACAGCCTCGGTTCATACCCTCAGCCTGCTCTGATTTAGAGGGGTGTAGACAAAGCTGCAAGTTCAGGCCTGCTTTGTTTTTTCCCTGTTCAAAGAGAAAATTAAAATGAGCGTATGGGAGCAGGAAATTCAGTATCTGCCAGCACTGGTTTTAAAGCTCAGTCCTTGTTATTAGCAGAAGCAGCTCTTGATGCTTAGGAACACGGTGCAGGGGAAGGCAAAGGTGTGCTCCAGGGCGTAAGGGGATCACGATAGCCTTGTATTGTTTGCTGTCCTGTGTGGTGCAGCCCGGGTGATTCCGGTGGAATCCAGGTGATTCTGTGTGGAAGGGAGTGCTGTACTGTCTGCGTTTGGGTTGTTGGCTTGATACTTGGATGATATAGACTGAGATGTTAGAGAATGCTAAGCAGAAGTTTTGAAGTCCTAACTAGGTACACATTTAAAGTACTTGGCTGTCTTACTGTGGCCATTGGACCTCTTGAAGACTCAAGAGGAAGTCTCTGAGGCCGCATGGTACAGTATACACTGTGCTAGTTAGTGAAATAAGTTAGTTTGTCATGTATCTGTCCAGGGCATGTGTGGAGTGATGCAGGGTGGGGGTGTGTGGCGGGGGGTATTAGATACTAGATGGCAGGTGGGAGCTTGGCTTTCTGGATGGCTCAAGTAATCATTAACTGATAAGTTATCAGTCTTCAGACAGGTCCTACAGCATTCTGAATACCAGGTATCGTATCAGGACCGGGATTCTTCATCCCTTTTCCCAACATGAATTTTCATGTTTTGTACCTTGCTTGGTGTGGAGCAGCAGTTTGCTGGTATGTAGTTAGCAGTCATAGGAAATGTTGACAATTATAATGTCAAAGCTATAACAACTATCAGCATATTTCAGTAACTTAAGTGTAATTATAAAATAATTTAGCAGTTCTTCCTTGGAGGCTGTCCTTACCTTTGGGACGTTAGACTTGAGTCCTCAGGGAGGCCCTTAGCCGTCCCTCTTCTGTCTCCTTATACTGGCCATTCAGAATAACTCTGAAGTTTGTTTTCCTGGTCGTGACCTCTGTGGACTGCAGACTGCACCCGACCCTGCTCTTTCCAAACCGTCTGCCGACCCCCTCCTGCGCG